AGTTGTAAATGTCATTTGAGAAACAATACTTTTTAATTGATACATATCTAATTTGTTTTATTTAATTTTTTCTCGTATCTTTCATATTTTATTAAGTATTTAAGATATTGTATATTTATAAATATTATATTATACAATTGTATATACTATATATACAATTTTAATTTGAAGTAGTTTAATGATTTTAACAAATGAAATTTTTGATTTTAGTCGATCTCATACAATATTTTCAATTACTGTACATATGAAAGAAAGCACTATAGATGGTGAAGAAATCTTGAAAACAGGAAAACTAAATTTGGTTGATCTGGCAGGAAGTGAAAATGTAGGAAGATCTGGCTCTGTTGATAAAAGAGCAAGAGAAGCTGGTAATATTAACCAATCTTTATTAACTCTTGGTAGAGTTATTACAGCTCTTGTTGAAAGAGCACCACATATACCTTATCGGTAATAAAAATAAATATTCTATTTTTTTATAAAATTAATAAATATATATTATTGATAATTGTATATTTTATATATTATATTATTCAGAGAATCTAAACTTACAAGATTGTTACAAGAATCATTAGGTGGTCGTACAAAAACATCAATTATTGCAACTGTATCTCCTGCTAATATTAATCTTGAGGAAACATTATCAACTCTAGATTATGCACATCGTGCGAAAAATATTACTAATCGACCAGAAATAAATCAAAAACTTTCAAAACGAGAATTTTTAAAACAATATACAGAAGAAATAGAAAAGTTACGAAGAGATTTATTAGCTACACGCGAAAGAAATGGTGTTTATCTTGCAGATGATAATTTTAAAGAAATGCAAACATTAATTTCACAACAGAATAAAGAAATAGAAGAAAAAATTAATCATATAAAAGCACTTGAAAAAACTATGCAAGATAAAGAGGTATTACATTTTTATTGCAAATTATTTTATAACAAATGAAATTTTATTATTCATTTCATCGATTTTATTATTTATTTTTTCTTTTTAGAAAATATTTAATGAACTTGAATCACAAAATATTGCTCAAATGAAAGAATTGGATGAAATTAAAACTAAATTAAATAATGCTACTGATGCTTTACAGTCAACATATAATCGATTAAAATTAACAATACAAGAACGAGATGAACAAAAATATTTAACAGAAAAATATATGAATACAGAACAATCTTTATTAAATCAAGCTCAAACTTTAGTAAGCGTTGTAGATACTGCAATAACAGATTCTTATAGATTACATGATAAAATTGAACGGAAAAGGTTTGAATATCATATTTATATTTTTTAATATATAATTTTTTGATACAGAATAGGATTTTCGTATTTATTTAAATGAATTTAATATTCATTTGAAAAATTTGCATTCAAATATATATAATCTATTCATAAAATCTAATCCTGAAAATTTGATGCTAGTTATGATAAAACTAATAACTAACTAAATTAAGTATACGAACATCACCTCATATAATAAATAAAATATTATTCATAACAAAAATATTATATCATAAACACAAATATATATGTATATATATCAAATAGAGTTTGCTATTATTCGAATTTCGCGAAAATCTTGAAATTAATTTTGCAAATAATCTTATTCTATTTTTAAAAATGTAAAAAGACTTATCATAGAAAAAATAATTTATATCTTATATCCATGTTTCAATAAATTTTTGATTGGTTTTCTTTTTAGCGAAATGGAACGAAAATTTGAAATCCTTGGTGAAGGTTTAAAAAATAATGTTTCTGATTGCTTACAAAATATTAAAAAAGATGTATCTACATATGGTGAAAAATTGAAGGAGCTTTTCACATCAATGAGAAATGATCTTGGTAATAAAACTTTTTTATAGAAATTCATTTTCTTTATTAATTTTTATTTTTGTTTTTATTTTTTGTGTATGTGTTTTTATTTATAGAAACTTCTATTAAATATGAGAATATTGACATAGGAACAAATATTCCAAATCAATCTGATACTAATAATTTAAAAAAAAATATAGATGAATCTGTAAGTAATGTATCTTATATTTTATTTATTATTATTTTATTTATCTTTTTTTATCCTTAATTATAAAAATTTATAAAAATTTATTATATATGTATCTTTTTATATCTATATATTTTTTCTTTTTTATTTTAGTATTCAAATTATCAAAATTGGATACAAAATGAAATGAAAAATGCGGCAAACACACTTGAATCTGAACATGAATTAATGAATATAATTTCTCTAAAATTGGCTCAAGACATTGACAAAATGATAGAAAATGAAATAGCTAAAAATTTACAAATTATAAGAAATAATATATCTGAAAAATTAAAACAAACTTCAATTTCCTTAAAAGAAATGATAGATTCAGTTTGTACAGAAGAATTAAAAAGTTATAATCATATAAACAAAAATATTAAAAATATTATGGAAAATATAGAAATACTTCGTAAAAAGCAAGAATTCAGTCAGAAACAACAATCATTTATAAAAGTATAAAGAATATAATTTATACTATTATCTTATTTTGATTTTTATATTATATTATATTATATAATATAATAAATTGATTATATTAATTTATATTTATAGATGCTGAAAAATGTATTTTCGCAATTCAATGATTTAAATAAAAGTCAGGAAAAGTATTACTGTACTGCAATTAATGATTGTGATTATGTTAGTAAAATTTGTAATGAAATTGGTGACCAAGCAACAACTAATTCTAATAAAAATACGAAAATGATGAATGATTTGAAAGATCATATACAAAATGATATAGAGAAAATTGAAAGTAACATTATTGTTGAAACAAAAAAGGTAATATCATATTCAAGTTATAATTTTTATTTTAATAAAGAAGTTGAATCTTTTTATTGCTTTTAATATGAAATAAATTAATAAGTTCAATTTTGTATTTTTATTTTATTTTATTTTATTAAATAGAATGAAGAAATTGCAAATAGAATTACAATACAAGGAAAAGATTTAATAAATGAATTAAAATCAAATGTAAATGAAAGTTATAATGTATTGAAGCAACACAAGAATATTATGGAATGCAATGTTAAGGAAACACAACTGAAAATGGATATAGATAAGAATATAGCTTTTTCGTTAATTGATGTAAATTTATATAAAGTTTTATTTAAATTTGATTTAATGAAATATTAAATATTAATAAATAGAATGTTATATTTTTAGGATGCGTACAAAATAATTTCAGATGCAAATAAAAATCATGCAGAATTTGTGAGAGATAAAAGAATTAAAATTTCTGATATTTCTCAAGAGATATCTATAAAATTAGAAAATCAAATAATGGATTCGTGTGTACAGAATAATAACTTTGTGGAACAATTACAAATGACAGATAATGAAATCAACAAATTTTTTGATAAAGATGTACAACGCGATATTTCAACAGGTTTATTATTATTTTATTATTATTATTTAAAAAAAGAAAAAATATATTCAAATTATTCCTTATTTTATAAATTTTATTTTTAGGATTAACACCTGCTAGAAAAAACTTTTCTTATCCTCGTCAGTTTGTAGCAACGTCACCACATGAAAAAATTCTTAAAAGATTTAGAGAAACCACAAAAATTCTTGAAACAACACAAGATGATGTAAGTAATGATGCATAGATACAGAATATTTTTAATATTATCTTATATATTTCTATTATGTTTTTTACATGTTAAGTGTGCGCAAGAAGATATGTCTATGAATGATGAAACAATATTAAAGCAAATTGCAAATTCAACTGCATTATCTGATATAACATTTGTATCTTCTGGAGCTGATAATACAACAACAATTAATAAACAAACTGATTCAACTATATTATCTGATGCAACATTTGTATCTTCTACAGCTGATGATATAACATTTACTGCATCTATTTTTAATAATGATGATTTATCAAAGCGTACTAGCTCTTCTGATTCTATAGATTCTCCTATTGAAAATGTTATACATAATATAACATAATGTTATATATTTTATCTTATAATATTCAATTTTATATTTAGTCTGAATAAGCATTTAATTCAAAGGTAAAAATTATAATTTTTATTAATTTTTTATTTTCATAAAATATTTATAATGTGCATAATATATTGTTTATAATTTTCTTAATTTATTTTACAGAACAAAAAAAAGAAGAAAAATGACAACTATATCTTAATATGTGAATACAATGAATAATATGTAGATTTTTGTAAAACTCATAAAATATTAAATTTATTAATTTTTTTAAATAAAAATGAAATGTATATATATATTAAGATTTTTAATTGTAATAGAATCAAATTTGATTATAATATGTAATATAAAATTATTTTATTAATATAAATATAAAGAGAAAAAAAAAACTATTTTTTATCATATATAGAGATTATATATATCATATGATATATATAATATAATATATAATATGATATAATTTATATAATATGATATAATAATAATCATTTAACAATCCGTAATTTAAAATTAAATTTGAATTTTATGAATTTGATATTTGAAAATTCAATTGAAGTAAAAAAAAAAATCGATCATAAAAGAATTAGTATCAAGTTTTAGTTAGAAAAATTGATTTCATCTGGCATGAGATAAACTTCTTTGTCTTTGTAACTTCTCTAACTTTGAAGTCCTATTCTCAAAAATTTGTAAGGATAATAATAGATGCTGAAGCGGATTATAATATTATATTATAATCTTATTATAATTTTTTATAATCTTCATTTAACTTCGCGATAGTTATTACTTCCGATACAAATATGTATTATAATATTGTAATATAAAAATTTATAAATTAAATTATAATGTCAAAAGTTCTCTTAATACGATAAATTTTAATAAATTTTTAAAATTAATTTTGCGTGATCGATACTTTCGATATTTTCAATGTCCAAATTCCATAATATTTTTTTTATATTTTATTTGTAGTGATATATTCGTAGCCAACTCTATCCTATATTTTATCTATGGTTTTATTTTGGATTCTAATAAATCTAGTGAGGATTATCTGACTATCTGATTGTTTGTGATAGTTTAAGAGTAGAAAAGGTTTGAATATTGAGTAATGGCACTTATTATTTACTAACATATGTAAAATTAAATAAATATTAGATTGATGAAAAAATAAGGAAAAATTTATAAAATGTCTGGTGAAATCGATATTTTTGACGATAATGAGTCGCAATTACCACAAGATCTTGGAGATGACGTTGTTCAAGAAGTTTTAAAGACTGGTACAGATTTACGTCAATATTCTAGACAGATTGAAAAAGAATTAAAGGAAGTTGAAAATAAATCTATTCAAGATTATATAAAAGAAAGTGAAAATATAGCGAGTTTACATAATCAAATTGCTGCATGCGATAATATTTTAGAGGTTAGATTTTAATAATATAATGAATATAAAATATAAATATCTATAATTTACAATTGAATTTTATTTAAAATTTGAAAAATAATAATATATAATTAGAAATATACTTAGCAAATTTGTTACTTTATTAAGTTTGATTACAATTTATTGAATTTTGCATTTTGAAGATGTAATTTGATATACTTTTTTCCAGAAAATGGAATCTATGTTGATGAGTTTTCAATCAGACTTAGGAAGTATTAGTTCAGAAATACTTTATTTACAACGTAAATCTGTAGCAATGAGTCAACAATTGTCTAATAGACAAATAATTAGAGGACCTCTTAGTCAATTTATTGAAGATATGACAGTGTCAGAAGCTCTTATTGCGTAAGCATTAATAATTGAAAAATAATTTTTTATAAAAACTTGATATTTTCAAATATAGAATTTATTATAATATAATAAAATTTATAATAATTTATAATATTGCAGGGGAATTATGGACTCTCCAGTAACTGAAAAAGAATTTTTAACACAACTGCAAACATTAAATCATAAAATAAATTTTGTAAAGGAACAAAGTTTTAAAGAAGCAAAATCATGTTTAGATGTAAAAGATATATTAGAGAAACTGAAAGTGAAAGCATTAGCAAAAATTAGAACATATCTTTTAGAACAAATTTATAAATTTAGAAAACCAATGACAAATTATCAAGTGCCACAAAATAACATGTTAAAGTATAAATTTTTTTTTGAGTTTATTTTAGCAAATGAAAGAAATGTAGCAGAAGAAATTTGTGGAGAATATATTAGCACAATGAGTAAAATATATTATTCATATTTTAAGTCATATTCTTCAAGACTAATGAAATTGCAGGTTAGTAAAATATAATGATAAAAAATTTAAAATATGATTAAAAGAACAATATTTATTAAATTATATAGTTTGAAGAAGGAGCTACTAAAGATGATCTCATGGGAGTTGAAGATACTGCTGGGAGAAGTATTTTTCATAAAACCATATTAAAGCATAGAGGTACGGTATTTTCTATAGGTAACAGAGGAGATGTATTAACTTCTCAATTGGAAGCACCCATTATAGTACCTCATACTGCATTTAAAATAAGAGTAAATATAAAAATTTATAAAATATATTTTTTATTTTTAAAATAAAATTATATATGTAAATATATATGTAAATGTATATATAAATGTAAATTCAATCATTTTCTAAAATTATTTTTATTTTACAATTATTTTATCATATATAAATATATATCAATATATATCAATTTTATTGATTTTTATTTATAGTATCATTATGAAGCCTTGTTCAGAAGTGAACAATATGCTCTTGTAGATAATGCTTGTAGAGAATATTTATTCTTAACTGAATTTTTCAAAGTACGTGGTGTGCAGGCAATGGATATTTTCAATCAGGTAAAATGAAATAATATAATATTTTTCTCTGTTATGTTAATGATATAATGAGAATGAATATATAAAGTTATATATTTTTAATTAAAAAGGTAATGGGAAAAACATTAAATCTAATGGTGAAAAATTTACAATCTTTTGTGGAAGATTGCTATGATACTATCGCTTTATTCCTCTGCTTACATTTAGTAATGCGATATCGATTGACTTGCCATAAAAGAGCAGTACCTGCTTTAGATAAATATTGGGATAATATGACATCAGTAATTTGGCCTAGGTATAAATAAATAAATACATATTTAAATCAACATCAATCAATATATGTATAGTATAATTTTTAAATGGAAATTTAAATATATCTTTTTTGAATTTTTAGATTTGAATATGTTTTTCAATTGAATATTCAAAGTATAAAACATTGTGATCCATTAAAACTTACTCAAGAAACAGGACCACATTATGTAAATTTATAATATTAAAATTACAAATATAATTTAAATTTTTAGAAAGCAGCTTATTTATAAGAGCTTACAAAATTTATTTATAGATTACAAGAAGATATGCAGAATTTAGTGCTGCAATGGTTAGTGTAGTTGAAGGATTTCCTTGTGAAGGAGCCACTCAATTATTAGCAGAGTTAAGAGAAGCTGTACAATGTTTTCTGTTAAGAATGGCTGCTACATTTTCTACTAGAATTCAACAACTAGTTTTCCTCATCAATAATTATGATTTAGTTCTTGGTGTATTAATGGTAAATATATATTATACTATATTAAAAATAAATCAATTTTATAATATAATTATAATTATTATATTATTAATAATATATTAACAATATAATTATATTTTTTATTTTTAGGAAGAACACGAGATAATTCAAAAGAAGCAGAAAGTTTTCGTGATCAATTAAATGCACGATCTTCAGAATATGTAGAAGAAATTTTAAGTCCACATTTTGGAGGTATAATACAGTTTGTCAAAGAATCTGAAGCTATGATCGAGAAAGGTCAAACTGATGAATCAAAAAGACAAGAGGGGAAAGCATTAGCTCTTGTGCAATCTTTTACGAATAATTGGAAACGGGCATTAGAAGAAATTAATCATGAAGTATTGAAATCTTTTCCTAGTTTAGTACTTGGTACAGCACTTGTACAACGTGCAATGACACAGCTAGTACAATATTATCATAGATTTCATAAAATTTTACCACCAAATGCTCGAACACAATTAACAAACTTTCATCATATAATGGTAGAAATGAAAAAATATAAAGCAAATTATTAAAAAAAAGAAGAATTTTATTTCTATTTAAATTATATTAAAAATAAAATAGAATTATAAATATGTAAGATTAATTTATTATTAAATTTTATTAATCTAATAATGTAAATATTATATTTATACATATATGTATGTATATTTATAAGTGTGGAAATGTCTTATATAAATACATTTTATTTATGAATCATCTTTATAGATATTAAAAATATATTACGTTTGATGATTGCAATTGAAGAAAATTCATACAAATTATTATATTCGATATCATTCAATATCATCAAAACTAATATTGAAATTAATACTAAAATTAATAGTAAAAGGAAAAGTTTAAAAAAATTTGTTGTAAATTTATTAATATTGTAAAACATAAAATAATATTTTATTATTTTATTTTTTTACCTATCATTAATTAATGGAATAATAAAAATAAGATTAGAACACAAATTATGAAAAACATACTGTACATTTATTTATAAAATAATACATACTATCATAATACTAATTGTAGTTTATTACCTTTCTATACAATTAAGTAATTAGTTTTCACATTTATATATATATGACTCATGAATATGAGTCTATAACTCAGGTAGCACGAGACAATCAACACATCTATATTACATAAATTCTAAAATTTTCTTATTTATATATTTATATATTATTTTTAAATTTATGTAATTTTGCAATATTTATGGCAAATCGTGTTGATTTATTCTCATTATTAACTTATATAACAATTATAGATTTATTTTTTTTTTCGAAATTACATATTATTAATTACATATAAATAGTTTCAATTATTTGCAATTTTTTTTGAAAAAAAAAATATTTAAAATATATTTCAAAATAATTTTTAAACTTTCATACCATGGTATTTAACATAAAAAAATTTTTATTTACAAAATTTAATTTAAATATTTAGTACATGAGATATTATAATTCTTTATTATTATTATTTTTTTTATTATTATTATATTTTAACGTATTTAAAGATTATAAAAAGGTTTTTCCAAACTATAAAGAATTTTTCCATACTTTTTTTTCTATACTATATTATATATATATATAATAAGAATCAAAATAAATTATCAAAAATATAACTATCAACATAATAAATTTCTGTGATTTCTAATATTGATAAAATTAAAAAATTGATAATATTAAGTAAATTTTCAATTTCAGAATTAATTTATATCATAAATTGAATAAAATAATTATTTTTTTATGAAAATGGGAGTTATATATATCTCTATCTCAAAAGCTATTCAGATTGAATTTATTCTTCTTTGGAATAAATCTCTGAATTGTGAATAAGATTCTATTTCTTTTATATTTTGATCATATAGTTTTGTTATATTAAGATAACTCGAACTATTAAATGAAGTATAGTAATCATTAGAATTTATCGCATTAATCTTAAATTGTTAAAAATTGAAGGTTTGTATATATCTAATAATTAACAGAAAAATTAACTACATACATATGTATGTACTTTATAATAAGTATTTAATTCTTTGCGATTTACTGTAATAATCTCTTCTAAAAATTTCAAAATTTTCTTTTTTTTTAATGTGGAATTTCATCTTATCAATATTATTTATTTCTAAAAATAAAACATTTATATTAGATTAATATTTTTTTTAGTAAATTAAATTTAAATTAGATTATCCCATATGAGATCTTATTACTTTTTTTTTAGTAAATCACAAAGAAGTAATGATTTTTGTTTAACTACTATTACTATTACTAACTTAAAGTAAGATATAATTATATAAATAATTTTCATATTTTGTAATTGAAATATGTATTTTTGTATAAGACGCATAATTTTTCAAAGTAAATTTAATTGCTGTTGCACGATTATAATATACTGTCAATTGCGTGTAAAACTCCATTTGTTGCTGGTATATTATGCGTTATTACATGTGCTTCATTTATTCGTACTCGACCTGAAACAATATAGGAAAGTTTAGATAGTTTAATGTTTTTTTATATCATAAAATTTCTTTCTTGAAATATTTCATAATGATATGTATTAAAAAAATTAATTTAAAAATAATTAAAGAATTCAAACAAAAATGATATAAAATGATATCAAAATTTTAAATTTAATTGTAATTGCAAATAAAGTGAATTAATTGTAATAAAAAAATTTGTATGATTTCAGAAACAAAAATTAAAAAAAATTAAATTAAAAAAAAATATATTTTTTTTATTTTTAATATTTATAAGAAAATTTTTCATTGATAAAATTTTTATTCTATGTATATTTAATGTAAATTATTTTATAAATATATACAATGTAATTTATTTAAAAATAAATATTTGTAAATATTAAAAATAAAAAGAACTATCTCAAATGATAAAGTCAGATAAAGTAACTCAGTCATAAAATATTATATTCCTACGAACATTTTATGATAAAAAAAAAAATTTAATTACAAAATAAGAAGAATTATTACTTAACAATATATATGTATGAAAATATAAATATTATATTATATATAAATAAGAAGAATTTATTATGTTTAATTTATTAGTGTTTATTTATATACTCGAGAAATTTTTTTCAATTTGATTTTTTCAAAAATTGGTTTTTCAATGAATTGCATTACTATTAACGAAAAGAATGAAATTCGGTATTTTTTTACTTACCGCCATTTTTGTGAATATGGAGAGGCGATTGCGGACGAAGAGTATCTTTTTGTAGATAATACCTCATTCCAGCTGTATATAAAGTCGATGGAATTATATGTCTCGAAATGATTGTTTTTGCAGCATCTGGTCCATCTTCTTCTGTCCAAACTGGTGTTCCGTCTTTCGAAGTTGATTCGAAAGCAGAATCCGTTGGAGCGAAAACAGTGAAAGTTTTAGGTCCTGTAAAGATTATTTTCTTGTTATTAATAATTACTCATCTTTAATTATTTTAATTATCATTTTAATTATTAGATTATTTAGTTAGAAGTTAATAAATATTGACAAGATTTAATATCACACATATATACATGTATAAGGTATTCCCTGATATAAAATAATGGAATCTTTAGATACAAAAATGTTTTAAGATCATATATATTCTTTTTTATTTCAAAAAAATCTAATTTGGTGTAAGATATTTCTTTCTAAATGAAAATGTATCAAATATATTAATTTTTTAAATTATTTATTTTTAATTATATATTTTTCTGAATGATTGCAATTGATGCAGATTATTTATCTGTTATAAAAAAGAAACTATTAAATTATTTATTTTTTTATTAGTTCTTTAAAAACTTCATTAGATTTTTTTCTTACATTTATTTTAAACATAATTAAATTAAATTTTTGAGTTAAATTTTAAACATAAATTTATTAACTCATTAATAATATTCATTAATTCAAACATTCAATTCATTGTTTTATTTTTTACTTATATTATATTGGTTTTATATTATTTTTTTCATAATGATTTTTTTCTATCTAATTGCACAATTTTAAAAAAACTTAAAAAAATTAAAGAATTTATAACATTATAATAAACTATATTATTATTAAAACAATTTTTTTTAAATTTGTGTTTTTAAATTTTAAATTATTTAAATTACTCTAATATATTTTTTTTTATCTTGATATAAAAATATTATATGAATTACTCTATTTATTTTAATAAATATTAATATTAATAATATTAAGTTTAAAACAATATCTTATAAATATCTTTTTTTTTAAGAAGTTTAGAAAAAAATAAAAGATTTTTTTGCAAGTTTTAATTTGGATTTAACATTTTTTTTTTTTTAGTTACCTGATAAAGTATCTTGAAGACCTGATATGTAAAGCAGTTTTAAGAAAGTGGTGAATCTTCTTTCACGATCAGCCTGTAATGTTTGTACCAAATCGCCAACCGGAAGTGGGAACATTACCCTATCTACGGCATGGGCGATGCCTTGAGGTATTTCGATATCTCGTTTATTTGAGGCCACTTTTGCACCATTAATTGTTGTCACCTGTTTGTAAAAATGAATATAAAAGTAAAGATAATATTGTTTTATTCTTAGATCAAAATTAATTAAATTTATATATATATATTTTTTTTTATTAAAAATTAATAGAAAAATTAAAAAGAAACTGATAAATGATTAATTTATTTGATATTTTATTTGATAATTTATTTGAAAGTTTACTTTTAAAATATTGAGAATTAATTTCTAATATTAATTAAAATATAAAATTAACCCAGCTTTTTGAAAAATTTATATTTTAAAATTAACAATAAAAGAATTTTTTTTCTTAATTTGTGATTAGTTCTTTTAATATATCAAGAATTTTCAATGATTTTAATACATGTTTTTGATAATTATTGAAAATATATTGTTTATGATCTTTTTATAAATTACTAATTTCGATTAATAAAAACAGAAAAAAAATTAATTAAAAAATTTTATGAAAAAATTTTGAAGAGAACCTATGCAATTGAAAATTACGATTATTAATATTTCCGTCACGTCTGAGGATCAAATAAAAATATTATAATCAATAAAAATGTTCCTTAAGAATGTTCTTATTAAAAAAATCATTTTTTCTTATGTTAATTATAAGAATTAAGAAAAATCAAAGAAAATCGTTTACTCTTAAGTATTTAAACTATTTTTATTTTTAAGTAAATACTTATTTCAAATGTTACTAACATATAATGTAATATATAAAGTGTTTTTATCGTTTTCTAGAAGATCGATAAACTAGATCAATGTGAAACGATCGATCGAGGAAAGTGATGATGCAATATGCAGATTATAACTCATTAATGCATAAATGCATAGGATAAATGGAAATAAATCATTGTAGTAAACATTACATAGTTTGAAATTGGAACGATAACATAACTTAGAATTATATGCAAGATTTCTTAAAAATAAAAGATATGTAAGAGATATGTACCTTTATGTCATTCCATTCGTGATCGTGCATTGCATACTCATTCACTCTTAATTGCGTTCCAGCCAAGCTAACACCAGTCATTTCATCTTGCAAGGAATCAATCCTAAAAGCTCCTGGTATCACGTGGTGTAATAGAAGCTGCAATTTAATCATTTAAATTGTAACAATATAATTTAATTGCTTAACATGGTAAAATAGAACATAAAGGGAGTAAAAGTAAAATATTTTTTTATTATTCGTAATTTCTAATAATAAACAAAAATTGTTTTTGATAATTACTTATAAATTATTATTTTTATTGATTTTATAAATTTTTATTGCGTTCACAGCAATATAATTTTTATTTTTAGTAAATAACATTTTTAAAATTATGTATAATTTTGCATGAATAAATTTGAATTAAATATGAGGTAAATTAAAGAAAATTATCAATTTCACAAATATGTTTAATTTGTTTATTCATATTGTATTATTTTTTATATATTTATTCAATTTAAAATAAATTTATAATATAAAAAAAAAGAATTAATAATATTTTAAATAGTCGTTAAATCTATATAATTATATGTATAAAATTAAGTTATGTAATATTATAAAATTGGAATTTTGAATTAATATAAAGATGCATCTTAAGAGTTCAATATCACGAGCAATTTTTGTTATATTATAAAATAACAAATGTAACATACTCCACTAAGAAGTCGTGGATTATCTCGGAATTTTTGTTCCGCTTTTTCTGGGCCACCAAGTTGTACTAAGAGCGTTCTAAAAGCTTTATCCGTCGGAACAAATATTGTGTATGGACCTATAATGTTACAACATAATTAATCTTTTGTTTTATAACATTGAATCATATTTATTCATAAATGCAAATTCGTGTAATAATTTATGCATGAGAGATTCGAATTATTTTTTAGATAAATTCGTTTTTTTCATGATATGAAGAAAAATTATATTTCGCGACATTTCAAGATTATTTTAATTTCTTTTAAATATGATGATTTAAATTGCTCAATTCTTCACAATTTTAAATTTTATACTATTAAGATAACAAAGATAAATAAATTCGATCACGTAGAAATGCAATGAATAAAGACTAGAATCAATTACAATCACATAATCCCAATCATATTTTCAATATTTAAATATTATTTGGCAATCATTAAAATTCTTATCATATTTATATTATTTATGTTTTTTATTTTTTAACAAATTATATTATTATATTATTTATTTTTTATTTCATTTTTTTCATTTTTATTGTATTATAAATATAATTCAATAATTTAATATATTCGATTATCCGATACTATTGAAATTCCTATCATTGCATATTACAAAATTTGTATAATTTGTACAATAACGTCAATTGAATGATATTCTTGTAAAGTATCATGAAAGTAAATACATCTTTCTCAATCACAAGAATAATTATCATCCGGTTGTTTCTCACCCAACATGAAGAGTATGAACATCGTTACGCTTCTTTGATTTTTAATTGACGGAAGTGTACGGTTTTTTCGTTTGACTAACGAGCCAATAATTGGATCTGATTGTTGCACGATCTCTGACGCATTGGTTTCTCTATTACTTATTTTCACAATCACTTTTAATTGCTTTGAAAGTGATTCGTCCGAGTGTTTAGATTATTAGTTACACAACATATTCATATAATTTAATATTGTCAATGTTAATAAAATGAAAACGTATTGATGTTTTTTGTAAATAGAATATTAATTGTCGATAAAAAATTGTATTGATAATTAAACTATTTAATTAATATATATTTTTAATTGTTTTTAAATTAAATTATTATTAATAAAGAAAAGAATTTAAAATAATAAAAAAATTAAAATATAAATTATTATAGCACTCTAGAGCTTTTTTTACATTGAAATAAAAATGGATATCGTTATTGAATAAAAAAAAATCACATTTTAAAACATAAATTTTTCTGAATCGTATTTTCGTTCAGTTAAATAATAAATTCTAATCGATCATTACTGAACTTAGTAAAATAACAAATAGATTGACAAAAGATGTATAAACATTCAAACAAAACGATAAGTTATATAGATCAATTAACGTAACATTGTAAGATATAATTAAGCTAGCTTTTGTAATTTAAGAATTATTCGTATAACGAGAAAACGTGAGTCATCATTATTCTTGCGATGAGACAATAATGTCGAAACATTCGAGCAATCCGTGAGAACATTTTTCTAATGAATATTGCATGATTAATTAGATATTGGAAAGGAGAAAAATAAAACTTTGTCATAATAAGAAATCGTATCAAATTGTGATTATGTTGTGTGACGTTTGAATACGTTTTCTGACAAATTAATGTTGTGATATATAAAAATATAAGAATACATGTATAATCTGTCATATATAAATTATGATTCACAAGTTTTACATTTCGAGATCTTTTATTGTTAGTAATCCTATTTCTTAATACATTTAAGAAAAAAATCGCAAAAAAATCAAAATTCTCCGATGAATTGATATTCGACAAGTATAAAAAAAAATTATAAAACGGCGAAAAATGCAATGAAATTCAGAAAGATTGTGTATATTAATTATACTGAATGCAAAAGAAAAGCCGTATATGTCAAAAACTCTTTTTTTTTCACATTTCATGACACGACCGTACGCATCAACCGTCATAAAATAGAAAATAGAAAATCTTTATTATGCATATGTTGCATTACCGATTAATGCAAATTTACAAATCTTAAAATAAAGTTAAAAAAAAGTAAAGTAAATTAAAAAAATACTATCTAATTTTGTATTTTAGATACTCACCAGTTTCGTTCAATACGTTATCCAGACCCGACTGCCTTAGATACTTAGCCATTGCGAACAATCCTTCTCTCCTCAACAATGTGGTCAAGCTTTCCTGTATTTGATTTCTCGTGGTAGGCGATTCGATGGTCGGCATGATAGTAGATCTTTCGAAAGTGTCCTGATAGATGATATTTTCGTTGTGTAAGGTGGTCAATGGCCTTGCAGTGGTCTGAATTGTTTTTAAACTCGGTAAAGTTTCGCTAGATGGTGAAGTAAAGTGAATGTAAGAATTGGTCGAATGATGTGAGAAAGTTGTCGGCACTGATGCAGGTGTTGTCGTAATGATTTCATTGACAGGAGCCATGGTTGGGATGAAATGACTCCTTGTTACAGTTGGATATTTCGCCGTGACTCGATTATCCTGATCTAAAGAGCTTAATTTAGGAGTAGTGTTGGTAGTCTTGACAGAGTTGTACACGTGGCTTGTGACACTCGATGCTGAAGATAGATATTTGTCTGTCGTCGATACGGAATTTGGAGAGATCGTCACATGAGGAAAATGTTCAGTTGGTTTACTATGAAAGAATATTATTTCGATTAATACCAATTGACAATATTTTTAGGTTATGTAGGATATGTAATGTTACACGATTAGATATGTCAAAAAAGATATTAATATAATATATATAATCAATAATATATATATATATATATATATATATATATATATATAACTACAAC